CTCTGACCCTCCTTTTCTTCCTGAAAGCAGGAGATACAACCCCCATGTGAAAGGTACCCTCCCTGTGCCAGGAGGAAGGAAGCCATTCTGATCACCAGAGATAGGGAATTTGGGGCCAAGAAATCTGTACAAACGAACCTTCTTAAATTAACCCTTATCTTCCTAGTTACTTCTTCACCATTTACTACTCCTAGCCAAAAGTTATTTGCCTTGTCAATTCTTAACAAATTTATTGTTTCTTTGTCTAAAAGGTATACAAGCTTCCTGCTCTGGTCATTCCTCAGGTTTTCATTCTCTCGCACAGACAGCCATGTACATGTAAAAATTTAATAAAATTTGTATACTCTTCTCCTGTTAATCTATGTCAGTTTGATTCTTAGGCCCAGCCAGAGAACCTAAGAGGATAGAGAATTTTTTCCTCTCCTACAAGGGCAAGGTAAGAGTCAATAACTTTTTTTTTCCTTGGATATGGATATCCAATTGTTGCAGAACCATTTGTTGAAAAGACTATCTTTTCCCCACTGAATTACCTTGGGAGTTCAGAGCAAGTATTACTCTAGTATTAATTTACGCCCACTACTAAAATGTAAATCTTCTGGCTGATGGGAATATGAACACTTCCCAGACCTGTGTGAGACCTGCTAACTGTTCAGACTATTGCTTTCCTGTGACTCTTTCCCTGCTCTTGTGGAGTTTTACCCATAACACGTACAGATCAATATTCTGGAAACTCCTGCAGGAAGAAAGCTGAGTCAATCTTAGGGCTCTCTTGTCTGTTTCCCTTCTCTCAGGAATCACATGTGCTGCCTGCATCGTCCAATGTCTACAAATACTTGTTTCATACGTTTTGTCCAGTTTTCTAGTTGTTTACAGCAAAACAATTCCTGCAGCAATTTTCTTGAATATCGGTCACTTTATTTTTAAATAGTACAGTATACAGGTAATTCTCAAAGCTTACAGAAAGATTAGTAATCTTTTAAGTTTAATTTCTCGTTTTAATACTTTGCTGCTCCTCTTTCTTAAAATCTATGCCCTGGTTATCTTTCTTAGTTTTCCTATTTTTCCTCCAATTTTTCAGTGCATGAATTCTTTATAGAGGCCTGTCATAGTCTTGTATGTTAACTTCTTCAAGTAAAAACTGAGTTTCATTTACTCTTCATGAAATGAGCATTTTAAAATAAAAAAATACATAAATCTCACATTAGTGATTAGAAAGAAGAAATCCCAAAAAATCTAATAAGAGTTTTCTAGTACTGGAAAAGCAAAGTATACACCCTCTCTCTAAGCCTTTAACACAGCAGGATATCCTACATCAATAACAAGAAAACACCTAAAAGACAAGTCAAAAGCAGCACTGGTTTCCCTGGCCATTTGCTCAGGACCACCTTCCTGGACACTAATTTGACTCATTGCTCTCTGCTCTTGTTTCTCTGCCTCTCTGGGCCGTGGACTTCATTCCCCAGCCCTCCTAAGGACTGGTGACCCATTTAAATTCCTTCCTTGGATTAGTATCCTTGCTGAGAGTTGAGGCAAGGGAGGTCGTCTCAACCGCTTCTAACCATGATTCCTTTGATTACTGACATCACTTGTAATTCTGGAAAAGAAATACTTCTCTCACTGGCCCTGAAGAACCTTCTGTACTTTGGCAAGCTTGCTAGTCTCATTACCAGAAAAGGGAGATTGAAACAGGAGAGCACTTCCTACAAGTCAACAACAAAAAAAAACTCAATTAAAAAATGAGCAAAGAACTTAAACATATCTCCAAAGAAAATATAAATGGCCAATCAGCATATGCAAAGATGTTTAATATCACCAACCATTAGGGAAATGAAAATTAAAACCACAATGAGGGAATTCCCTGGTGGTCCAGTGGTTAGGACTCCACGCTTTCACTGCCAAGGGCACGGGTTCAATCTCTGGTAAGGGAACTAAGATCCTGCAAGCCGCGTGGCGTGGCCAAAAAACAAAAACAAAAAAAACCCCACAATGAGCTATCACCCCCCAGCCATTAGGATGGCTTTTTTTTTTTTTTTTTTAAAGACAGAAAATAACAAGTGTTGGCAAGGATGCAGAAAAACTGGAACCTCTGTGCACTGCTGTCAGTGGGAACATAATATGGTGCATCTGCTATGGAAAAGAGTGTGGAAGTCCTCAACACATTAAAAATAGAATTACCATGTGATGCAGCAATTCCACTTCTGAGTATGTATTCAAAGAATTAAAAGCAGATATTTGTAAACCCATGTTCATAGCAGCGATATTAACAAGACCTAAAAGGTAGAAGCAACCCAAATGCCCATCAACAGATGGATGGATAAATAAAATGTGGCATAAACACACAATGGAATATTATTGAGCCTTAAAAAAAATGAAATTCTGGTACCTGCTACAACATGGGTGAAACCTGAAACGTCATGGTTAAGTGAAATCAGCTAGTCACAATAGGAAAAATGCTGTATGATTCCACCTATGCAAGCTGTCCATTGTAGTCAAATCTACAGAAAAGGAAAGCAGAATGGTGGTTGCCAGAGACTGGGAGGAGAAGGAAATAGGGAGTTACTGTTTAATGGGTATAAAGTTTCAGTTATGCAAGTTGAAAATATTCTGGAGATTGATTGCACAACAACATGAATATACTTAACAATACTGAAATATATACTTTAAAATGGTTCGGATGTTAAGTTTTATGTTACATGTATTTGACCACAACACACACACACACACACACACACACACACACACACACACACACACGAGAATACTGCAATGGGAGTCTTTGGTTAAGGTTTCTCTAATACAGGCTACCCATCAGGGCGTTTAAATAGCCCATTAGTTTACATGGATTGCTTGGCACCATGAACAACCTACACCAAAAGAATGATTAAAAGGAGATTTGATGAATTCCAACCCACAGCATTATTTAAAAAAAGAAAAAAAAAGTATATTGGAACTTAGGAGGGAAATCTAAGAAAGGACATTAGAAGCCATAAAGTAAGGTACTACGAAAATTCCATCAGTTGTAAAGATGGAACTTCTTTACAACTTCCCCATATTTGTCAGTTTTTTTAGCCCGTATGTTATCCTATAGTGACTGGCAGTTAAAAATCTAAAGAAAGGATTAAAGAAAAACTGTATGTTTTTATTTAATGATAAGCAAGTATGTTGAAAAGATTAGGTCCTTCCTGATGGACAATCCTAGAGAGAAAGGAACCCCTAAGACATGGAGTAGATGGTTGCAACTTCAAACATCAATACAGACTAGATCATTGGGACCTGCAGAAGGAAGACAGGAATCCCTGAAGAGTCCACAGGGTCAGGAGCAATCCTTGAGGTTTACTGACACAAGTGTTAGAATCTTCTTTAAAAGTTGTTCAAACATGTGATCTGCAAACCTGTCACTGAAGCACTAACAACTGTCTTCTCCTTCAGGATTGTTCCTTGGCGTGTGTTTCTGGCTGACATAATTAAAAGAAGTCCTATTTCTAAGTCTCTGTCAGGGAAGCCTCAGTGGGAATTTCTGATCCCCACATCATGTTACTCCCAGCAGATACTAATACTGTGGAGCCACATTCATTCAACAGAGCAGGTCAACTGAATAAAAATGAAAATCGGTCATTCCAGTGAGGGTGCTTATGCTGATCCTAGCTGTGATGGGTGGCTTGCCAAGTACCCTCTTCTGAATGCAGAATAAACATATTGCCAGAGAAATGGGAGGAAAACTGGAAGACCATCTGAGTCCTATCCCTCAGTTTTGGGGTAGGCCAGTGGTTTTAAAATAATATGGTTAGTTGCTTATCTGTACTGCTTTTTTTTTTTATTCAATATATAGCCTATGAGGTAATGTGCTGCATGACTATTTTCAAATGAAATTGCTAAGTGCATACTTAACCCTATTGCTGAAAAAACAAACAAACAAACAAACAGGAATGCTGGTTTCTATATTGCTCTGAAAACAAGAGAACCAACTTTCAAGTCAGAATCCTTGAAATATAAAATGGTTATCTACATTTATGCAAACATTCTTGAAAGCTGTTAACAGTAACATTACTTTTGTGAGTTAGGGAAATATATGGCTGGTCTACTTACTCTAATTTATGCCTATCCTTGAAAGTTAATAGAATTCCAATACTAAATAAGATCCTAAGAGACAAATTAATATTCCCTTAAGAATGAGGAAATGTTTTCATCTTCACAGGTAAGATTTAATTTAAATTTTTTGTCAGTAAGTTACCTGACAACTGAAATGCTATAACTATACCTGTAAATTGAAAAATACTACCAGATAAAGAGAAACCACCTTTTCTTTCCAGTAAAAGGAAACATACATTTTCTTTCCTTTGTCTAGACGTCTCAAGTACCCCAAGTTTCACAGTCACATGATAGTTCCATGAATGTCAGTATCCAATATGCACTCATTTACACAAAAACAGCTTTTCTTCTGCTGTTACCAGTTGAGTCATGTTGAAGAAAGATCAAAGTGTACCTAACACTGAGAAACACTGCTTAGGACTTGGCTATGGCTGTAGATGGAGCCTCTTGTTAGTTTAGAAAGGATCACTTTCGTATTAAACCTACTGCTAAAAAGACCATATACTGATGTGTTGCACATTAAATAGAACTTACAGACTAATGTCACAACTGCAATATATTATAAGGTGACTGTTCTCCATTGATCCAACCCTTCTAATAAAAACACCCCTGAACATTTCTCCCTCAAGACAAGGAGGACTACTGGAGATGAAGCATGCTTATGAAGTCCTTCTCTGTTACAGTCAAAAAGACCTAAAAACAGCTTAGCTTTGTTATCAATATCCAGCAGGTAGACAAGGCATTTGGGTTTAGGTAAAGGTTTTGTGGAACTACTTTCTGGAGCTCAACTGAGTTCAGAAAAAAACTGTGCAGTGGGCTATGTCACCATCACGGAGCTCTGACACCCCTCAGAGGCTTCCCTATATCACAAGAATTCACCACTCTCATGGCGGAAACAATCTATACATTACCTTCAACTGCTCTAGGGCAAAAGATGAACCATCTTGCTGTAAATTTTCAATAATCTGTTCCACAGTATTGGCTGAGAACCAACTATGAAAAAAAGGGAAACATAAGATTTCAACAATGTGTAAGTGATTTCTTCTTTCCATGATAGCAATGAGTCTAAACACAGGCTTCCCCTAAACCCTATTTCAAGAATGAAAAAATTTCCAACCTATATTACAGGATGATGAAATAGAACATTGTTTCTCTGGGTATTTGCAGTCTACCTTCACTAATGGGAAATAAAGCCTACATTTTCTCTTCTGCTTTCTTGCATCTATCATACATAAGTAAATTATGTCTTAACTGTCAAAAACTGATGCTTCTAAAACGTAATGATAGTTGCCTTATTTTCCAACAGTTTTCCTCCTCTTGTGTTTAAGTCAGTCTGTCAGTCTCTCAAATCATTGCACAAAACCTTTTGCTGGGGCTTCCCTGGTGGCGCAGTGGTTGAGAGTCCGCCTGCCGATGCAGGGGACACAGGTTCGTGTCCCGGTCCGGGAAGATCCCACAGGCCGCGGAGCAGCTGGGCCCATGAGCCATGGCCGCTGAGCCTGCGCCCGTCCGGAGCCTGTGCTCCGCAACGGGAGAGGCCACAGCAGGGAGAGGCCCGCATAACGCAAAACAAAAAAACAACCTTTTGTTGATCAGCTTGATAAGACCTTCAGAGAAGATGACTTTACAATGATAAAAGATAAGTTAATTCAATTGTTATTTTCTACACTCTCTTCCCCATTAAAGAAATGTTTTGCACTAAAATGAATCAGCATGATAGATTACTTAAATTTAATGAGTTTATTTCCCCCTGAAGGAGTGGGCAGGAAGCTACTTTCAAAGGTAACTAAAAAAAACACTGCGTTATCTGATCTCAGAATTTGGTGCATTATCAAACACAGCACAATTACAGTGTTACTAGTAAATTCGATTTAATATAGTCTTTCCAAAGGAACAGATATAATTCACACCTCTTTTAAGTACCTGTTTATTTTGTCCATGTGTTCCTCAAGTATAAAAGACTTGTCTTGATCAATCTTGGACTGTTTGAAAATAAAAATCTTTAATTTGATGCAACTCAAATCTTAAAAATTCTTAAAATTTTCACCATATTTAATGATATATTTTGTGGCAGATTGCAACTTTCACTCAAATTACATCCAGTCTCATAAATAACTACTACCATATGTTCAAAATTCAGACACTATGTATTATTCCAGAATAGCTCGTAAAACTATCAACAGCAAAAAATGTTCTTGTATTTTTATTTGTATGCCATTATATATTATTATGTCATCATTAAAGTGTGTCAATGAATTTAAGGATTTCAAGGGACCTGAGAAGTCATCCTGCCCCAATCTCTGTCTGATATAGAAATCCCTACCACATCCCCGATATCCCCGCAGCACTGACCTCCAGGGGAAAAAAAAACACTACAATGTGTAAGCGATTTCTTCTTTCCATGATAGCAATGAGTCTAAACACAGGCTTATATCCCCGATATCCCCACAGCACTGACGTCCAGGGGAAAAAAAACACTACCTAAGAACTCATAAGTGCTTGAACAACTATAATTAGGATTAAAAAAAAATTTTTTTTGAACCAAAAATCAGCCCTCTCGTGTTTATAGTTCTAGTTAATCCCCCTTGAGTTAATCTTTTCTCACACAGTGCAGTTTTGAGTCCCCTCACAATCCAGGTCCTTCTTATGTACAAATTCCAGTTTATCAAGGTCATTCTTAAAGTGTGGTGCATGTACCTTAGCTGCAGACGTGGCTGAATCATAGCAAAGAACAACAAGGTTCCGCATACCCTTGTTTTGGATACAATGCTTTAAATAACAGGACTAACTCTAGGTTAGTTTGGGGGCAGTCCTATTACGCTGTGATTTACACTGGGCAGTTAAAACTTTTTTTAAAACTGGTGCCATTGTAGGCTACATTTCTCCCATCCTGTACTTATGAATTTGGTACCCTGGACTGAAATACAATTATCTCTATTGTGATACTGTGATTTAAAATTAAAAATATGTATTTGGTCTTCGTCCATATATTTGGCCTTTTGTTCCAGGCTCACAGCTCCCAAAAACCCATGAAAATCCCTAAGTAGATCACCTTTTGTTATAATATATGGTCTTTGTCTTCGGTTCCTGAAATAAAGGTGAAATGGCTGTCTTTTGTTATTCACAACAAGCCCCTTTCAATCACACCTTTGTTTATGTTACTGAGGTGACTATAGGAAAGCCCTAAGGATGGAGGCTGGTTGCCAGAGGAACCAACCAAGGGAAGTTGCAGTGCCATACTCCACTATCTAATCCCACACCTCCCCCATCTCCACCTCCAGTGAGAGGAAAAGCGCTGGAGATTGAGTTCGATCACCAATGTCAATGATTTAATCAATCATGCCTACATAATGAAGCTGTCATAAAAACTCCAAAGGATGGGGTTTGGAGAGTTTCTAGGTTGATGAACATGCAGGGAGAGTGAGTGGCTCACCCCAACTTCATGGGGACAGAAGCTCCTGGGCTTGAGGCCCCTCTGGACCTCACCCTATGTATCTCTTCATCAAGCTGTGCATTCATATCCTTCATAATAAACCAATAAATGTTAAGTGTTTCCCTGAGATCTGTGAGTCATTCTAGCAAATTATCAAACCCAAGGAGGGGGTCATGAGAACCCCAATTTATTGCCAGTCAGTGAGAAGTACAGGTGACAACCTGGGATTTGTGACTGGTGTGTAAAGTAGGGTCCAACTTGTGGGACTGGGCCCGTTAAGTTGTGGGATCTGATGCGTACCTCAGGTAGACAGTGTCAGCATTGAAAGGAATCATAAGACACCCAGCTTGTGTCGTGGAGAACTGCCTGATGTGTGGAAAACCAACACGTCTGGAGTCAGGAGTGTTGTGAATGTGGTAGTAGTGAGAAGGAAAGGAAAACACATGGAGGGTTTCCCAACACATCTATCAAATTTCACATTTTTACTATTAAACAGATCACTCTGAACTTGGTTTTTTTTTCACAAACATGTTTACCTAATTTAACTTAGTTTCTTAGTTTCAAATCAGTCTGATCAAAACACCATCAACGTTCTCATCCAAATCACTGAGGAAAACACTGACTAAGAGAAGGCCAAGACGGCTTCACTAACAGCCTAATACCCAAACATTTAACAGAACTCCTTGGGAAGGCGCTTCAACCCCCCACACGCTATAATCCATCCCACGTTTACCCAATTTGACAACATAAGAGACTGTCAGATGCTTTGACAAAATCTGATGAAATGCTCACATGCTCTGTATTCATATTCATACACTAACTATTCAGGGCCCATGAATCTGTACTCATGTTCTTCTGTTCTGGGTAATTTTGTCAGGGGGCGGTTACCATTTCTCTAAATATTTCCTCGCCTCTGTTACAAATTCCTAACAGGTTTGGACCTCCTGGAATAATACCAAGTTTTCTTTTCTCTCCACTTTCCACCTTATTATCCTCTTAGAGTCTTCCTCATCCATCAATTTTAATCTAAGCTGTTATGAGGTTTTCCCCCATTTCGCTGTCACATTTTAAATTGCTTTTTATTCTTTAACTATTTCTCTTCGTAACATCTGTTCTTATTTCACAGATGAAATATTTTCCTCTTATCTGAAGATTAAAAAAAAACAACCAAACCTATAATTGTTAGGGTTCCTTCTTCTCCTTGCATTGCCTACTTCCTTCAAGTACATTTTTTATTTTAGCCAATCTCCGGTTTTTAATGCCTGGCAATCCTTGTTATTCTATGTGAAGCACTAAGATTAGGAAGCTTTGTGTGTAATGTCAATTGCAGTTATGGGACTATCAATTGTCTGATGCATTATGAGATGATCAGACCTGGATGTTTTTTTCAGAGGGGTGCTCGAATGTCAATAGTTACAGGTTTTCTTTTGCTTCTAATGAACTGCTTGGGAGTAGAATGGTGCTACTGACTAAATGTTTGTGCCCCCACAAAATTCATGTTGAAATCTTAATCCCAATGTGATAGTATCTAGGGGTGAGGCCTTTGGGAGGTAATTAAGTCAAAAGGATGGAGCCCTCAGGATGGGATTAGCGCCCTTATAAGCAGAGACCTGAGAGAGCTCACTTTCTCTCTCTGCTATGTGAGGACACAGCAGGAAGGCATTCATCTGCAAAACAGGAAGAGGTTCCTCACCAGGAACCTAATAGGCTGGCACCTTGATCTTGGACCTTCCAGCCTCCAGAACTGTGAGAAATTTCTGCTGTTTAAGCCACCAAGTCTACGGTATTTTTGTTATGGCTGCCCAAACTTAGATAGATGGTACGTAAGAGTTCTGGAAACCAACTAGGAAAAGAGGCCAAAATTCTTCCCATTTAATATGTTCTGCCTCTTTTCAGTAGAGCACCTCACCTATCCCTGCCCTTAGCCAGCGAGGCCTGTCAAAGGGAGCTGGTACCCTACAAAGAGTCTACAGAAAGAACTGGCTTACTTCTTATTGACTTCCCCCACTGAGTTCAGTGTTCTCAGGTCTATAGTAGTTGCCCTCATCATTCCACTTTCAAGCTTCCAAAATCCTGACATCTTATGCCTGCCACTGTCTCCTTTTCTGTTCTATTTCTCTTTGTGGATTCCTGCCTTTCTTATTCCTTTACCACAATTTTAGTGGGGTTTCAGGAGGGAGCATACATGGCATCTATCACGTTTAACTAGAAGTCATGTAGCATTTTTATAGATTCTTGGCTCTTAAAAGAGAATTTAAGTTAGACAACAAAAGGAATTAAAAGAAACCACTGCATTGTATGTTATTATCATATTTCGATATAGACCAGAGTTTCACTTTAGCAGCTCCACAAATAGCATCAACACTGAACCTCCATTACATAAATGTCACAGTGTGTTGTAAAAAGCCCTTGCAAGGGCCAATCACAAGGCTATGCACTGAAATTCACCGGAAATGAGAAAACAAGCTGTGTAGTTGCATGTAAAGAAGTCATCTTCTCAGATGGCCATCCTAATGATTGTGAAGCACTGATACTCCCAACAAGCTTTAAAGTAAATAAATCCCAGTACATTTATTTATATCCACAAACTATAATATTCACCAACTGCTAATTTTTCAGTCACTTCCCCTTCCCCATGAATTAAAATCTGAGGTTAGAATACTGACAAGATTACCTTTGCATGGTAAGTTTCTAAGACTTCTGCAATATTTTCTTTTGAAGGAGATTTCAGGGCTAACAAATCTTCTTCTAACATGCCCAACTACAGGGGGGTAAAGGAAAACATTTAAAACACCACAGCAACACAGAATATTTTTTCTTTAGAAATCTTATATTCTTTTTAAAAATCCCTGTCTTAAAATTATGATACTGTCCCTTCAGCTGAGTCAATGAAGGCAATTTTCACTGAAGTTGAAGGCACACACATTCCCACAAAGTAAATGCTGCCTTGCAAGGAATGGATAAAGATGAAAGAAATTGAAGAGGAGAAATAGAGACATTCATCTTTGTTTCCCTCTAGCTATTAAGCACTTGAAATGTAGTGTTACAACTAAAGATCCCAATTATAAATTTTATTTTAATTAATTTTAATGAAAATTGCCACATGTGACTAATGGCTACTATAGTCAATGCACAGGTCTATAATATAGCCACACTTAACTCTTGTATGGCTATTAACATAACTGACACCATCTTGGGCCCATACAGTTCCTCCTGCCCTTCCACTGACCCTACCCAGGACCGTACTGTGTGGTAAATCACTTCTCTGTCATCAAGGGCTTTGTATCAATAGTTAATAGACATCGTTTAATAATCATTAGGACCAAGTGGCCTCCATGCTCTGTTAGTCCCCAAACAATGATGAAGACTCTCGCTGACGTATGTATTCCCAGTGCCCAAGAGACGAGTTACCCATTCATAAACCCCAATTTAGGAATGCATGTCCTGTTTCCAAGCACACATCCCCATACCCGAAGGTCAACTATAAACTATCCCAGTGGCCCCTCAGCAGTGCAGGTGCAGTTGTGAATGCTGCCAGATCACTGTCCGCCCAATGCCACCCTGAGCATAAGTTACCGTCTAACAAACTGATCCACTGATTATATGGAGCCGCCTGCCTCATTTTTTGGTCTCAAGATACCTTCTCAGTTCGGTGGGTACTTTTCGTTCCCTCTGTCCTCCAACAGCTTTCCCCCTATATCCCTCATATACCTCTTCCTACACTCAGCCAAATGGACTTTTTACTGTTTCTAAAACACAGCTAATGTTTTCCTACCCCTATGGGGCTTGCTCATTAGCCTCCTCTATCCAGAAAAACTTCTCCCGATAATACTTATCTTAAGGCCCAGCTGAACTGCAACCTCTATGAGAAAGCTTCCAGTCCGTTATTATAAGTAAGCTCTTCCTTCAATGGATTCAATCCGTTGAATCCTTTCTTTGTATTCTGTTTGTACACTTACCATACTTTACTCTGTCAGATGGTACATATGGTTTTTTATCTTTTGTACCCACCTCTAGCCCCATTCCCAATGTGTATTATTCATTTCTGTTATCCACTACAGGCTCTGTAAATGGGAGGCTATGCACTGCATATATTACTGGGCAATCTGACTAAGAGAAGAAAGGGCTGTGGATCAGCTCTCTCCCCCATCCTTAACCAAATTCCACTATAATCAAGCGTGTCCCTCCAGAGCAAATAATGGAGTACCCATGTTTGCTTCCTGTTACAGCTCAAGGGAAGAATGAGACAGCCACCTACTCAATGTGACCAAGGATGCCTATAAAGATCTAAAAAAGAGAAATATCTGAAAATTCAGGCAAATGTGATGGAAGGCCCTCATAACAGTGTAAGGGGACAACTTTCAACTTTGTATACTTCATACATTTTAATAGCATTCCTTCCCCTATCACGTAACACCCCTCCCTCAAGATCAGAAATCCACTGGTTTCCTGGGAAACTGACTTTACTCCACAGTTCCAGGGATGGAGCACATTAGCTAGGATAGATTAGCCAGTGTATTCCACCCACCCATGTGGTTCAGGAACAAGCCAGTTCAATAAGACTGAGCTAACCCAGCTGAAGCAGAAAAATCCCAAATCTCTTGCTGGGAGTTCTAAGGCAAAACCACCTTGAACTGGGCCTTCTGTTACATTTAACACAATGACTTTCAACTGCTATGATAAAACTGCCGTCCTCAATGTGGAGATGGGAAAACTGGGGCTAAAGAGGATAAATTCAAGCTAAGATTTAAAACCAGGCTGTCCACTGCACATCCTTTGCCACTGTGCTATCCTGGGCTAAGAAAACTGACCGTGCTGTTTAAGAAAAATGTTTTAAGACCAAGGTAAGTAATATGTGTCCCTTACAACAGATACCCTTCAGAAGAGTTTTTAAGACCATATTTTACAAACTTTTAAATGCACTAGGGAAACTAACAAAAGAATCTTTCAAAAATATCTTTATAAAAGCCTATCTTTTTATACATAAATTCAGATTTTTATATATTAGACTTTCTTAAAATAGTATAAACAGACTATAATTATTCATTTAAAAATATTCACTGAAGGTACCAGGCAAAACAGCCCTGGATCCAGATATAATTATTTCCATTTTGCATATGAGGAAATGAGGATTGGAGAGCTTAAGCACCTTCCCCAGGGTCACACAGCTTTAAGGGTACATGTAGGGTTCAGACCCATGTAGACCAAAGCCTGTAATCTCAACCACTCATACTGCCTCCCCATGAGCTATTCCAAACAACACAAAATGCAATCATCCAAGTAATTACCTTTTCAGAATCTACAAAGTGTGTAGCAATTCCTGCTGCATACACATCTCTTCCTTTCAGCCTGAATCCTGTTAATGCAAGGAAGCACCCAAGTTTTCCTTGAAGTCGTGGCAAGAAATAACCTCCACCCACATCAGGGAATAGCCCTGTAATTAAAAACAAAAAGAGACAATGATTCAAATGAAAAAGATAAATTCAGCTCTCTTGAGATCAAAGAGCCATTTTTCTCTGGAGTCTGAATCTATAGTAAAAATATTATTACTATACCACAGTACTACAACGTACTATACAATGCAATCAATGTCACAAAAGACTTGCTATAAATTGTGCTAACTTAATTGGGGTACTTTTCAAATTTTTCATGTTTCATTTCTATAGAAGTCAATGACGGATATGACGGCACAATGTTCTGGATATAACTACTTGATAAATATTACTTAAATTACTCATCTCTACTACTACTTTTTAAGAGTCTCCAATGTAGGTAAAGACTGAAGCAATATTTTCTTTCCAAATGATAAGCACAGGAAAAAATATATGTAATCTAAGGCTATTATGTGATAAATTATTATTACCATTTAATCAATGTCCAAACCGTCAATTATCTAATATTCAAGATACTTAAAGTGATGTGATAACCATTAGTCCTACTAAATGAACAAGTTTATACCTAATTAAATCACTTGCACTTACTCTTTTCTTAACCATGAGTATTTTTTAAATTCCCTTACTCTCTCTACTGGCAACAACTAAAAATAGCATATATGCAAATACTTGCCAGTACACTACTTTTTGGTGTTTAAGAGCTCCTTAAACAATTGTGACCCTCTAGGTTTATAATCCACCTATCTGTTTGAAAATTGCTTCAATTAATTCAGATAAAAATACAAGCATTCAAATTCTTCCCAGTTCTACATGTCAAAAAGTTCCTAGGGGGCTTCACTGGTGGTGCAGTGGTTGAGAGTCCGCCTGCCAATGCAGGGGATGCGGGTTCATGCCCTGGTCTGGGAAGATCCCACATGCCGCAGAGCGGCTGGGCCCGTGAGCCATGGCCGCTGAGCCTGCGCGTCCGGAGCCTGTGCTCCACAACGGGAGAGGCCACAACAGGGAGAGGCCCGCATACCAGAAAAATAAATAAATTAATTAATTAATTAAAAAAAAAAAAACTAACACCTTTATCAGTCTTCAAGGCCCCTGACCACTTTTTCAATTACATCTCTTACTACTCACTCACTATACTCCAGCCACTCTGGTCGTCTTTCTGTTCCTCAATATCCATTCCTACCTGCTGCTGAACCTCAGGAGCACTCTGCCCAAGTGAAAACACTTCTGTGTGTTCCAGGGCCCCACATTCTCCCTCTTCGCCCTTTGCCTCAATGGCTGCTTCTTTCCAGTTCCCCTTACTGGCTCCACCTCCCTTGCTGGACCTGTGCCCACTGCTGTGCCTAGGCCTCATCTGAGGCTCTCCGATACCCCACACACGCATTTTCTTAGCTCTTACAGCTTTAGATAATATCTATATGCAGATCAGTCCCTGTTAGGGACGGAACTGTGTCCCAAATGGTGTCCCAAAATTCTTAAGCTGAAGTCCTAACCCCACAATGTGACAATTTGGAGAAAAGGACCTTTAAAGAGGTAATTAAGGTTAAATGAGGTTATAAGAGTGGGGGCCTTATCTAATAGGACTGGTGTCCTTGTAAGAGGAAGAGACACTGAGGGCACACACAAAGGAAAGGCCATGTGAGGACAGAGAGAAGGCAGCTGTCTACAAGCCAAGGACAGGGGCCTTGGGTGAAACCAAACCTGCCAATACCTTGATGTTGGACTTCCAGCTTCCAGGACTGGGAGAAATAAATGTTGTTTAAGCTACCCAGTCTTGGTATTTTGTTATGGCAGCCCTAGCAGACCAATACAGTCCCAAATCTGTCTATCTAGTTATGCCTTTTTCCCTTGAATACAAACTCTCAAATCTGCATTCTAGATTTAGCCACATAGATAATAAGCATCCCAGATATAACATGGCAAAAACACAACTCCTGATTCTCATCCCTCCAACCATACTGTTCCTTCCCTAATTGGCCTCATCCATCTAGTAGCACTACCTAAACACCTTGGAGTTATTCCTGATTCATTATATCAGCAAGCAAGTTAACTCCAAAACATTTTCTAAATCTATCCACTCTATTCCAACTCTATAGCTCCATATTACTCCAAGCTTAAAATTATCTCTCTCTAGACCTGTGCTATCCAATAGAATTTTCTATGATGATGAAAATGTTCTATAATCTATGCTGCCACTAACCAGATGTGGCTATTAAACACTTTGCAACTGAGGAACTGAATTTATTTAAATTTAATTTATATTAAATAGCCACCTGTGGTTAGTGGCTACAGTATCAGACAGCAGAGCTCTAGATTAATGTAATGACCTCCTAACAAGCCTCTCTACTCTTGCACCCCCTACAATCCATTATCCTTAAAGCAGCCAGAATGATGGCATTAAAATGTAAACCAGACCATGCCACTCCCTGCTTTAAACTCTCCCACAGTTTCCCATAATGTTTAGGTTTAAATCCAAACTCTTCACCAGAGGTCCCTGTGTACCTCTTGAAGAGCACAGTATAACACTCCTGCCCTGGATTCAGACAGTTGACTCTATTTGGTTTCTTCAACTGGTAAAGCTTTATTCTTGCTTTAGACTAACTTCTTAACACCACAGTATTCTGTTCTAAGATATTAATATAGCTGCTTCCCTCTTGTCATTCAAATCTCAACCTAAAGGACATCTCCTTGGAAAACCTCTTTAACCATCTAATCTAAAGTAGCCATCCAGAAGAATTACACTTTGGATAAGATGGAGTAAGAGGGACTAAATTTACTCTCCTACTTGAAATAACTATAGAAAATATACGAAATACCAGTTTTCAACAAACTGGACCATCAGGGAATAAAGGTAAGTGATCTCTGAATATCTGAAAACAAGTGAGGTAAACTCTACAAAAGCTCCAGCTTAAAGCCTTGAGAGAATGTCCAGGCCCAGAACAGCCCTTGATTTGAGGGGAATAAAGCTAAGAATCCAGGGAGACTGAGGCAGACAGAATTCCCAGAAGAGAGTACCAGAGAGGAGAGAGCTGCACAGAGAGAAAACTCTGGAGATCTGCAGTGTCTCCCTTAAGTCCTTAGCTTGGTACTGATCAGTACATGTGTATGAAGAAACTGCCTGAGGTTATGGAAAGAACCACAGGAAAGGATTATAGAGAACAGTACTGGGAACCTACACAGGGCTGAGAATAGTGCCTGTTCCCACCAATCAGACTGTGAGAACTCAGGATTCGTGGGGGCACTGAGTAGAAGGCAAAGAAGGGTCTCATTTCAGTAGTAGGAAATAATTAGCCCTAGCCTGAGCACTGCTCCAACCTGGCATCTAAAAATAATAATAATAATAAATTTTTAAAAAAACAACTAAAAGACCTGAAAGGAACAAACTGTTTCCAAGTAACATAACCTCATCCCAGAAGCAAGCTCAAGAATATTTATAAGAATATAGATCTTCCTCAATTTACATTGGGGTTACATCCTGATAAATCCATCACAAATCATAAGTTGAAAATACCATATGACAAAAATGCATTTAATACACCTAACTTCCAAACATCATAGCTCAGCCTAGCCTATCTTAAATGTGCTCAGAACACTTACATTAGCCTAAAGTTGGGCAAGATCATCTAACACAAGGCCTATTTTATAATAAAGTGTTGAATATCTCATACAATTTATTGACTTATGCTAAAAGTGAAAAACAAAAAGGTTCTAAGTATCAGTTATTTATCCTTGTGATTGTGTGGCTGCATAGGAGCTATGGCTCGCTGCCACTGCCCAGCATCACATGAGAGTATGGTACCGGATATGGCCGGCCAAAGAAAAGGTCAAAGTTCAAAGTACAGTTTCTACTACATGTATATTGCTTTTGCACCATTGTAAAATCGTAAAATCAAAAAAGTGTAAGTTGGGAACCATCTATACAAAAATATCCAGCACTCAACAAAGTAAAGCTTACAATGTCTAGAATCCAGTCAAAAATTACCAGGAATCTAAAAAAGCAAGAAATTGCTACCCATGATGACATGATAAAACAATCAATCAAAATTGATCCAGAACTGTTGCAGAGACGTGGAAAGACCCAGAGACTGTCATATGGAGTAAAGTAAGTCAGAAAGAGAAAAACAAATATCGTATATCAACACATATATGTGGAATCTAGAAAAATGGTATAGATGATCTTACTTGCAAAGCAGAAACAGAGACACAGATGTAGAGAACAAATGTATGGACACGAAGGGGGAAAAGGTGGGGGGGGTGAATTGGGAGATTGGGATTGACATACACACTACTATGTATAAAATAGATAACTAATGAGAACCTACTGTATAGCACAGGGAATTCTACTCAGTGCTCTGTGGTGACCTAAATGGGCAGGAAATCCAAGCAAGAAGGGACATATGTATACATAAGGCTGATTCACTTTGCTGTACAGCGGAAATTGACACAGCAGTGTAAAGCAACTATACGCCAATAAAAAAAAAAAAAACGAAAGTGACAGCAAGGTGTGGGGAAGGCAGGGACCAACAGGCTCTCTCGAGCTCCTTCCTGGCCTTTGATCCTGGCGTTAGCAATCGTGCCTGTCACTCGTTTGTGCTCTTTGCCACCGATGTGTTTGAATAAAGTTTGAAATGTTGTAACATTATCTATAAAGACAAATAAAACAAAACAACAAAACAAAATGAGAAAAACTGACCCAGAACTGACATAAACATAAGAATTAGCAAACAAGGACATCAACACAGTTATAATAAACATATACCATATGTTCAAAAAGTTAAATAAAAGCAAATAAGAGGGGTTTCCCTGGTGGCACAGTGGTTAAGAATCTGCCTGCCAATGCAGGGGACACAGGTTCAAGCCCTGGCCTGGTAAGATTCACATGCCGTGGAGCAACAAAGCCCGTGAGCCACAACTACTGAGCCTGCACTCCAGAGCCCACACGCCACAAATTCTGAGCCCACATGCCACAACTACTGAAGCCCGTGTGCCTAGAGCCCGTGCTCCACAACAAGAGAAGCCACTGCAATGAGAAGCCCACACACCGCAATGAAGAGTAGCCTCCACTCTCCGCAACTAGAGAAAGCCGACGCGCAGCAACAAAGACCCAAACACAGCCAAAAATAAATCAATAAAATAAATAAAATTTAAAAAAGAAATAACAAATAATATATATTTTTAAAAAGACCCAAATGATACTACTATAGATGAAAACTAAGATGAATGTATAAGCTAAAAAATACATGAATGGGATTAAGGGCAGTTTTGACTTTGCAAAAGAAAGGATTAGTGAATTTGAAAACACATGAATAGCAAATATCTAGAATAAAAAAAAGAAATAAAAAAAATCAACAATACATGAGTGAGCTTAACAAAAGTTTAAATGGAGTTCCTGAAAAGGAAATGGGGGGACAGAAAAATATTTGAAGAAATAATGTCAAAATTTCCAAATCTGACAAAAACTATAAAACTAACTAGCCCAATAAACACAATCATAAGAAACAGGAAGAAAGCTACAGAAAGGTACGTCATAATCAAGGGATCAAGGCACACCAAAACAAGTGATCAGCAGAAAATCTTAAGAGCAGCCAGAGAAAAGAAAAAAGAAAAAAAAAAAAGACACTTATTTACAGAGGAACGAAGATAAGGATAAGAGCAGACTTCTCATGGAAAACAACATAAATGAGAAGATGGTGTAGCAAAATCTTTAAAGTACTGACATTTAAACATCAGAATAGAATTCTATACCTGGGTCTCATATCAATGACCTCAGGTTTCACCTTAGGAGACTAGAGAAAGGAGATAAAACTTCAAGTAAGTAGAAGGAAGTAATAAATATCAGAGCAGAAATCAATAAAACAGAAAACCAAAAAACTTCTTTTGAGATCAATAAAATTAATAAACCTCTAATTACAGTGATCAGAAAAAGAAAGAGAAGACAAATTACTAACATCAAGAATGAGAGGGTTTCCCTGGTGGCGCAGTGGTTGAGAGTCCACCTGCCGACGCAGGGGACATGGGTTCGTGCCCCGGTCCGGGAATATCCCACATACCGTGGAGTGGCTGGGCCAATAAGCCATGGCTGCTGAGCCTGCGCGTCGGGAGCCTGTGCTCCGCAACGGGAGAGGCCACAACAGTGAGAGGCCCGCATACCACAAAAAAAAAAAAAAAAAAAACAGAATGAGAAAGGGACTTCCCTGGCTGTCCAGTGGTTAAAACTCTACGCTCCCAATGCAGGGGGCACGGGTTTGATCCCTGGTCAGGGAACTAAGATCCCAAATGCTGCATGGCATGACCAAAAAAAAAAAAGATGAGAGAGCCAGGTATTACTATAGATTCTACAGATACTAAAAAGATAATAAGGAAATGAACTTTATGCTAATAAATGGACAAACTCCTTAAAAGACCCAAATTACTAAAGTTTGTGCAAAAAACCCCAGATAACTTGAATAGCGTACATCTATTAAAGATTTTGAATTTGTAGTTAAAAACCTCTCCACAAAGAAAACTCTAGACCTAGATGGCTTCACTGGTGAATTCTACGAAACACATGAAAAAAAAGAATCAATTCTACCCGAACCTTTCCAGAAATGAACCCAGCATTACCCTGATACCAAAATGAAGCAAGCAAAATGATACCAAAATGATGTTACCAGAAAACTACAGACCAATATCCCTCATGAACATAGATGCAAAAATTCCAAAGAAAATTTTTGTGTATCAAACCCAACAACATATAAAAAGTAGGACACATCATACTAGAGTGAGATTTATTCCAGCAAAGCAGGGTTACTTTAATGTTAAAAAACCAATCAAAGTAATCCACCCTTAACAAACTAAAAAAGAAAAAACGATGATCATCTCAACACATGCTGAAAAAAATTACAAAATCCAAAGTCCATTCCTTATAAAACCCCTCAGAAATCTAGGAACAGAAGGAAAGTTCCTCATCCTGATAAGGGGCACCTATGAAAAACTTATACCTAATATCGTACTTAATTGGTGAAGGACTGAACGTTTTCCCCCTAAGATCCCAAACAAGGCAAGAAGGCCCACTCTCAACGTATCTGTTCAACATTGTATTGGAGGTTCTACCCAGTGGAATAAGGCAAGAAAAAATAAAAATAAAAAGTATCCAGATGGGAAAGAAAAAAGTAAAATGTACTTTATTTGTAAACAACATAATTATCTATTTAAAAAATCCAATTCAATCAACAAAAAATCTACTAGAACTAATAGGTGAGTTTATCAAGTTTGCAGGATACAAAGTACAAAACTCAATTATATTTCTATATACTGATAACTAACATCAGAACTAGATTTTAAAAATATCATTTATAATATCATTGAATAATATGAAATACTTAAGGAAAAATCTGACAAAAGATGTATAAGAAACTGAAAACTACAAAACATGGCTTAGGGAAATTAAAGAAAACCTAAATAAATGGAAAGATATACCTTGCTCACAGGTCTGAAGACTCAACATTGTTAAGATATCAATTCTCCCTCCCTAAATTGATAGATCCTAGACAATCCAAATAAAAATTCTAACAGGTGGGCTTCCCTGGTGGCGCAGTGGTTGAGAGTCCGCCTGCTGATGCAGGGGACACGGGTTCGTGCCCCGGTCTGGGAAGATCCCACATGCCACGGAGCGGCTGGGCCCGTGAGCCATGGCCGCTGAGCCTGCGCGTCCGGAGCCTGTGCTCCGCAATGGGAGAGGTCACAATAGCGAGAGGCCCGTGTACTGAAAAAAAAAAAAAAAAAAAATTCTAACAGGCCTTTTTGTTGAAACTTACAAAATCACGCTAAAATTCACATAGAAATACAAAGGATCTATAGAGCCAAAACAACTTGAAAGAAAAAAAAAAGAACAAAATTAGAGGATTATCATTACTTGATCAAGACTTACTATAAAGCAACAGTAATCAAGACAGTGTGGTGTTGGCACCAAGATCAGCACATACAAAGGTGCAAAGGCAATCAGTGGAGAAATAGTAGCTTTTTCCAAAAAATGATGTGGGAATGATTTTATCTCCCTATGCAAAATAATAAACTTTGATCTATACCTTTGATCCATACCTCTCACCACATACAAAAGTTAACTCAAAATGGAGCATAGATCTGAATGCAAGATATTTCCTCTAATAATCTTTCATCTAAAATTAAAGACATGTACAGCAGAAATTGACACAACATTGTAAATCAACTATACTTCAATAAGAATAAATAAAATAGACTACAGTGCGCTAGTGTCTCCAGTTTAAATATGCTTGCCTTTGTGTTTTCAGATATAAGTATGAGCTAATATAAACTTTTAGGTATCTTCCTATTATAATTTATTTTTAAAAGTTCTTTCATACAAGATTCCATCAATTCCTTCAATAACTGTAATCTGAAATGTATCAAAAGATGATAATTGTAAAAGTAATTATGAAAAATTTGGTTTTTTGTTTTTTACCTATTGCTGTTTCTGGCATTGCAAAAAGAGACTTTTCAGTAGCCACTCGGAATTGCCCATGAACTGAGAGACCAACTCCCTAGGGAAAAGGCAAAAAATTGTTTTAAAAATACTGCGGGGGTTAAAAAAAAAAAAACAAAACCTCACATTCACAAACATTATAAACCAAGTAAATTATATCATATACAAAGATACATATAATATATATTATATATAATTCTTCATAAAGAATTTCTTTAAAGGAATTTCAGGAGATAGACAGGAGGGAAACCCTAAACCACACAATTTCAGAACTTTCTGGGTGAAAAGTACATGGGTACCCCTGATATCTGGAACAGATTTGTTTTAGCTAAAATGTTTTTGATTAGTATCCTGTGTTATGCTTCATGTCCTCTTCCCCAATTACCTCTTATTTCAAACTAGATGCAGCATTATAGAATACTGACTCTTCCCAGAACCACTGAGTATTCTTAGTGGAACCAATCATCAAAAAAGCATAACCAAGCTATTCTAGCAAATTTCAGTAGGCTTAAATAGAATATTAACACATTTTATTTATTCACATAGTTCATCAAATAAAATTAGCAACATCATTTTTCTCAGATACAACACTTAGTAACTATTTAACTCTTAAAAATCCATTACTAAACACAAGTTACAAAATAAAAAGATTTGGCTGAAAGTCTGTTTCTGACTTGTTGAATGTCACTGAAAATGACAAACTTAACAGTCATCTCTGAATCAACAGATATATTTGAATAAAATAAGAGGTATACATGTGATTACAAAGTATCCAAGTTTGTCTGTGCTCACATTGTGACATACATTTCCTATGTTATGTTTTTCACATTATTCAGAACTTCTATTAGATTGTTTAGTGCATGTAGCCTGTACAACACAGAGAACAAAGAAAACAAATAGCTGGAGAGAGAAAAACAGGCAAATGCACTACTCAAACTTGCCTTAAGCCCACACTTGCAGTTCAACTTTCAGGAAGACAAGCTATGTTGCATTTTTGTCTTTGGATTCCCATTTGTTCCCTGCACTTGTCTCTTAACTGCTCCCTTCTCTTTTCTGGATCTGTTTGGGTGAGTGCCTGCTTTTTTCAATTAAAAATGTCTCTTCACCACATTTTCAGTTAGAACCCAGACCCAGATTCTGTCATGATTCAGCATCACACAATAGCTGTCTTAGGCCTTTGGCCTCTAATAAATTCATCCCAATACTGCTGTGTGCTTTTTCCTAACACTGCTCTCCCTGATAGTCATTCCCATACTATCTTCTGGAACCCTCATTCCTTTGCAAAAGAACCACTAACAGCCCAAATTCTCTACAGAGGGCCCTCCCTACCCCCTAAATTCAAGAAAGAAAGAAATTTATAAGCTCTGTACTCTTTCATGTAGAAGCTATAGATCCCATATTCATTGATTCAGTTATTTTGTTTCAGTCATGGCTGATAAAATAATGAACAAAGTCAAAGACTTCAAAATTTTAGTAAGAAGTTATTAATGAAAAGCTTTCCAAATAAGAGGTCATTGACACCAGTACCATTAGAAGCCAATTTAAAATGCCTTTCAATTAAGATGAAATGAAGACCGGGAAAATTCAAGCCACCTGACTTGGAGATACTAAGGACATAAATACTGATCCACGTTGAAAGGGGTGTAGCACTCTCATGGCAGATTCATATCTAATTTTTGTATCTTATATAAAAGAATCCACTATAGGTTGCTTATATTAAATCCCCCTTGAAATTTCCAAAATTTACCATTACATACTATTAACCCTTAATCTTAGCAGATACTCCTTTGCTAGACTAAAAAGGCTTCAGTCTTCAAGTTTTATTATATTAACAACCGGTTATACACATTCATTCCCCAAATGTAAAATTTATTCCAATTCCTAACTCTCTTCAAATACTCTCCCTGCATCCTACCCAACCCAGCAGTCAAATTTCATTTATCACATAATTATAAATCTCTGTAGCATTTGACAGTGGCTCACTCTCTACTTCAGGAAACACCTGACTTGGCTTTGAGACACTACACTCTCCTGGTTTTCCTTCTAACTCATTAGTTGTTCTTTCTCTTCTCCCTGACATCAAAATGTTGATCTGCCCCAATGATCAGATATCATCCCACTACTCCACTTCACCTGTACTCTGTTCTTTCTATTCATTCCCCAGGTGATCTCTTCCAAGAGCCCCAAGATTTTAAGCACTGTAACATTAACGACAAATTATTTTCCCACTCCTGATTTCTCTAGAATTTTATATCTAGCTGTTTACTTAACAACTCCACCTAAACATCTAATATGTATCTCAATGTTCACGCATCAGAAGTAAACCTCTTGATTTCTCTTTGAACATGCTGCTCCCTCAGTCTTTTCCATCTCAGCAAATAGCACCATCATTCACCCAGCTGCTCAGGCCAAAAATTTCAGCATCATCCTTTCTTTCTGATCTTACAATCTATGAACCTGTCTTTTTTTTCCTTTTTTTTTTTTTTTTTTTTTTTTTTGCAGTACGCGGGCCTCTCACTGTTGTGGCCTCTCCCATTGCGGAGCACAAGCTCCGGACGCGCAGGCTCAGCGGCCATGGCTCATGGACCTAGCCGCTCCACGACATGTGGGATCCTCCTGGACCGGGGCACGAACCCGTGTCTCCTGCATCGGCAGGCGGACTCTCAACCACTGCGCCACCAGAGAAGCCCTATGAATCTGTCTTGATAGCACTAACTTCAAAATATACCTTGGATTGGGCCACTTCATCGCCACTGTTGCAACCCTAGGTGAAGTCACTATCATCTCTTACCTGGGTTAGTCTCTCTTGCTTCTGTGTTTGCCACAATCCATCCTCTGCACAACAGCCAAGTAAACTTATTAAATGTAAATCAGTTCATGTCATTCTCCTGCCCAAAACTCTCCAGTGACTCCCCATCCCATTAAAATATTACTGAAATTCCTCATCCTGGCTGATAAGACCCTCCGTGATCTGGTCCCTTTCTATCTCCCTGATCTTATGGTCTACCATTCTCCACTTTCCTCACTTTCACTCTTGTCAGCCACACTGGCTTTTTTTTTTTTCCTCTTAATTGACATATAATATACAATCGAAAGTACACAAATAGTACAAACAGCTAGCACACAGGTCCAGTGAATTATCCCAAAATGAACACATCCTTGTAACCAAAACCCAGATAAAAATTATCAGAAATTCTTTTATGCACCCTGTCAGCCACTACTCCCTCCCCATCCTTCAGGTAACTACTATCCTGACTTCTAACAAAATGAGAGTAACGTTTTCAGGTTTTGATCTTGATATAAATAGAGCCATAGAGTATTATTTATTTGACTTCAGTCAATGTTATGTTTGCAAGATTTATTCATGGGTGTAGCAATAATTTCTTTCATTGTACAGCATTCCTTTGTATGAATAAACTATTTTCATTCTACTGTGAATAGCTAGTTAGGTTTTTCAGTTTGGGGCTACTGCAAATAACGATTCAATGACCACTCTTACACATGTCTTTTGGGGCATAAGTACATACATTTTGGTTGGGTTGTAAAACTGTTGGGTCAGAGTATTAATTCAATCAACTTTAAAAGACGAGATCAAACAATTTTCCAAAGCAGTCATACCAATTTATACTCCAGCAGCAATATGAGTTTGTATTCCATATCCTCACCAATGCTTGAAATTGTCTTTCACATTTTAGCCATTCTATACAGATGGCCAACAGGCACATGAAAATATGCTCAACATCACTAATTATTAGAGAAATGCAAATCAAAACTACCATGAGGTATCACCTCACACCAGTCAGAATGGCCATCATGAAAAAGTCTACGAATAATAAATGCTGGAGAGGGTGTGGAGAAAATGGAACCCTTATACACTGTTGGTGGGAATGTAAATTGGTTCAAACACTACAGAGAACAGATGGAGGTTCCTTAAAGAACTAAAAACAGAGTTACCATATGATCCAGCAATTCCACTTCTGGGCATATATCCGGAAAAGACAAAAACTCTAATCCAAAAAGGTACATACACCTCAATGTTCAAAGCAGCATTATTTACAATAGCCAAGACATGGTAGCAACCTAAATGTCCATCAACAGACGAATGGATAAAGATGTGGTATATATATACAATAGAATACTACTCAGCCATAAAAAAGAATGAAATGCCATTTGCAGAAACATGGATGGACCTAGAGATTATCATTCTAAGTGAAGTGAGACAGAGAAAGACAAATATCATACATCACTTACATATGAAATCTAAAAAATAACACGAATAAATTTATTTACAAAACAGAAACAGACTCACATAGAAAACATTTTAGCCATTCTAGTGAGTATATGTTAGCATTTCATTGTGGTTTCAGTTTTCCTTTTCTTGCTGATTAATGCAATTGAGTGCTTTTTCATGTTTTGGTCATCTGCATATTCTCTTTATGAAATGTCTAATCTATTGCTCATTTTTCCATTGGATTTTCTTATTCATAGGTAGAAATTCTTTCTACATCCTTCATATGATTTCTTGTCAAATATATGTATCGTCAGCCCTCCATATTCACGGCTCCTCATCTGCAGATTCAACTAACCACAGGCCAAAAATATTTTCTAAAACATTCCAACAAAAAGTTCCAAAAAACAAAACTGGAATTTGCTGCATACCAGCACCTATTTACATAGCATTTACACCGTTTACAACTACTTACATAGCATTTACACTGTGTTAGGTATTGTAAGTAATCTAGGGATGATTTAAAACATATGGGAGGATGTGCGTATGTTACATGCAAATACTATGCTATTTTATACAATGGACTTGAGCATCCTTGGGTTTTAGCATCGGATGGGGGTCCTGGAACCAAAATCCCCTGCTGAGAACAAGGGACTGTATTCCAAATACCTATTTTCCAGTCTGTGGCTTGCCTTTTCACTCTCTTAATGATGTCTTGGAATGAATAGAGCTTCTTAATTTTAGCACAATCGAATTTGTTATTTTTGTTTATGGTACATTTAGTGTAATCCATTTAGTGTAATTTAAGTAATCCTTCCATACCCTCAAAG